GCAATACATCTCGTTTTTAAAAAGTAGATCCAACCATAATGTCAAGGAAAGATTTCCATGATATATTTTTAAGTGAAAAAGGAAAGTGATAGAAATATATATTTATATAATATGACCCTATTTACATATCTTTAAACAGTATATGTGTATTGTATGATTTTAAATGGATAGAAAAAGATCAGAATGGACACATCCCCAACTGCTCACAGGGTTGACCTCTGGAGAGGAGAAAAGAGCTGGGAGGTAGAAAAGGGTGAGGAGATGAAGGGGGAGTTCTGCTTTTTCTTGAATATACTTCAGTGATTTATTCTAACAAATATATGATAATTTTATCATGGCAAAATAAAGAAGGATGTTGTTGGCATCTCCTCACAAGGCACTAGGTAGCCAATCGTGATGCAGTGGAAATCCCACCTGATCGATTCAAGCAGGACAAGCCACTTCAATTCTCTAAGCCTCAGTTTTCTCATCTGTAAATGAGGACAACAATGCTTGCCTCACGGTGTTGTTGTAAAGGATTACATGATAGAAAGCTTATAAAAGTTCCGTTTACTGTTAAATGTAAGTGATTATGAAATGCTAAACAAGAATTTTTCCAAGGTCAGGAAAGAGTTGATATAATGTAATATGATGACCATGGATAGGACTAAATTTCCCCGACTTTGGGAAATGACCAGCTAAGTAGTGATGGTTTTAGAATGATTAAAGAGGTCAAAGTCATGTGGTTGGGCACGAAGTCTCCCCGGAGGGTGCCCCGAGTTATAATAATCCTGGGAAGAGGCTAACCCTGGAGCAGGAATGAGCAATAGGGAAAGAATCTTCCTCTTTCTGAGTCTGGGGAGGAGTTTGGAACAGATCCAAGGACTCAAGGCACCTGACAGAAGCTGCCTTAGAGAGTGAGCTTCCACTGCCACATGAGGCTCAGAGTGGGGCTGGGAATTACCCCCCACGACACTCTAAAGCAGGCTTAAGCCTATATAGTAGTTGTAAGTGATTTTCTGTGTAAAATTTTTCTTCTGTTGTCACTGAACCTTCAAATAAAGTTTCACTAAAAGTTGGAACCTAGTCTCAACTGCTCGGGGGAGAAATAGCAAAGGGCCTGCCTACTGTTCCATGTCTAAGATTCCTCTCCTGGAATGAGGATGTTTGGGGGGGCCAAAGGCACCTGAACCTCCCCCCATATTCATGGTTTGGGCCCCTTTCTCTCTGGCAGCTTTGGAGAATAGACTGGCTATGTTAAGGATAGGCTGATGGGCTCACCTCCCTCCGTCTCAGGGGACCACAATGAAGTTCCCTGGCTCAGACGCAATGGAAGATCTACTTCCTACTCCTGATTTGGTTCTCTGGCAAGCTGCACGCCGTGTCTCAATACTTAGATTCCATCTGTCAAGGGACATGCTATCTGACTGGACACAAGTCTCCTTTTGATGAGCTTTTCACTTTTTTTGATTCTGCCTTCCCCATGGCCCCATGGTGTTGTTAATCGTCTCTGAGGACCTAAACCCCAGGAATGGTGGCAGACTTACTGGAGAGGTTATTCAGGGTACAGATTGCTGCTCCGAGGGCCAGACTTTTAGAGACAGATGTATTAACTTACACAGAAAATGCCTTGCAAGACGTGTTTATGCGCAGAACCTGGTGGTGCTGAATGGTAAGAGGTGGAAAAAATTTAGGGAGCGTGTTCTCCATATTTTCACTCTAGAGGCCAGAATCATAGATTATATCACAGTTAGACTCTTTGTGATTATTTTCATAAGCTGCTTTTAATCCTCTCTGGAATCACAGTAGGGATATATCCAAAAAAGCAAATAAACAAATAACATTTATTGAGTAGTTATTATGTGCCAAGTAATGTGCTGAGTGTTTTTCACATAACTGTTGCCTTTAATCCTCACAACAACCTATTGATCATGAATTCTATCCCCAGGGATTTGTCAAACATTTGCCCTATGAGTTCGGGGCCATGTGGGCCCTTTACCTGTCGAGGCTCTGCGGCAGGCAAGGCAAAGGGAAGCGACAGGAGAGAAGCAGCCTCTAAAGGTGGAGGCGCAGGAGGGTTGACAACTCAGGACACTCAAGCTCGAGAGTCAATGCTTAACTTTCTTGACAGCCAGAAACGCTAAAGAAATGGCTTTGTTTCTACTTTCTTTCTGGTGGCTTTTTCTGTATATTCTCTAAATGGAAGATATCACTGAAGAGACAACCGGTCAAACAGCAGAGAACAAAACTTTCACTTTATTCACTTGCAGCCCGTCCTTGTATTTCCATGTGGGTCTACAATGAGACTCCTGCCTGTTTGTTGCATATCCTGGGCATTGTGTTATCCTCAATTCCCAACAAGCCTCAAAGAATTAAAACAACTTGTGCTTTTGGGATGTAACAGGTCTTTCTTTTGCATGATTAGGGCTCTCTGGTGGAGGAAGCCATCTTCACATTTGTGGGTGTGTGACACAGTCAAGTCTATAATACATTCAGATGGTGGTCCCCCCACTGAGCAAGTGGGAAGCTTGGGGCTCTGATTTGGTCGGTGGTTCTGAGACCCTGAGCTGGTAATGGGCTAGGAGCATCCTTCTGAGAGACAACATCCAAATGGAAGTGTTGGTCATGTACCAAAAAGACAGTGCAAATGAAGCGTGAGTCCAAAAGAGGTAGATGGAAAGGCAGCGATGAGAGGGACTGAGAAGCACCGCAAAGAGACCTAAGAGCAGTTCAGCTTCCCCCTGGGAGAGACCCTCACGGTGCTGGAAAGTGGGCACTCAGGGCTTTTCATAGAGCCTGTTGCATAGGATGGAAGCTGGTAAAATCACTAACAACAGTTTCAGGGACAAGGAACTAGGTCTCACTCTGCACAGGGAAAGAACTCTGTAGTCATTAGGCAAATGTTTTAGCTTTTGTTCAAGCAAAACAGCCTCTCTCAATGGTTACTGAAGCCACGAACAGTCAGAACTCTGTTATTTAAAAAAGTTGCAGCTGACTGTTTCAGATATGAGCTGTCATAGAAACTAGATGTCAGGCTGGTTCTGTTGCCCTTTAGGCTCTCTGAAAGTTTACCTTGTCTATACGTGCAGGCACACCCATGTGTGCATGCACACACACACATAAGCACACTGTTCTAATAAGAAACATGCAGCAGGCAAACAAGGAAAGAATCTGCCTTGTCCCAAAACAACCAGTTCTCTCTGTTTGTTCATGGAATTTACTGGACAAAAGCAGTAATAGAATATATTCTGCTGAATCAAACAGAAAATCTATTTCAACCTAACAGTTTACATGGGCATTTGTGTCCTCTCCCACTATGTAGATATGTATATACATATACAGTATGTTCAACAGGAATGCATGAAATAATCTTTAATATTGGGAAATTCACAGTCTTTTGTGAGAGGTAGCAATTAGATATAGCAAAGAGGTAACTTCTCAAGACAGGAATAAATTTTCCTAAATACCAAATTACATTGTCAGAACAGTGTTTCCATTGTCCCCTCAACTGGTCAATTCCATCTCCTAAGAGAAGTCAAGGGTTCCAACTGCTTCTCTTTTGACAGAGTTTGGCATCCAATATCAAGCCCCTTCCTATCAAGCCCCCCTTAAGTCAAGTGATAAAGTTCTAGAGAACCAGGGCCCATTTGGGGCTGAGGTGGAGGAAGGGGTGGGACAGGTAAGGATGATGCCAGGGAAATTCAAAGATCTTCACAACATACAGAGAAGCCTGATGTGAGAAGAAGCTGGTTATTAGAAACAGATTGATTCCACAAAGGTGCTTATCCTTGTTTTCCATGACTACCCAGAGGGTATGGGTGCCCTCACATCTGCTCCGGGGTATAGAAGGAAAGACGTTTCTGTTTATTAGGTTTGGGGAGATTTTAAGGGGCTGGGCTGATTGTTGTTGTTTTAAAGGCATGAAGTCAAGTGTGGACAACTTTAAAACATTGCTGCTACATCATGCATCTAATTGAGTCACTTGTGGGTCGTCAGGCTCTAGAGTATAACGATTTGCCAGCACAGGACACAGAGTGGACCAATTTAATACTTGCTGCAGGGGTTAGAATTTCCACAGCCTTTGATCAGATTTTTTTTAGGTCAGCAACATTTAGAGGTAGATAAAAATATCAAGTAATTGGTTAGAAACTAGATGGTTTGTGGCTAATTTGCAAAAGCACAGATTACATTGTAATTTGGATTTTATCCACTTCACAAAAAAGTCTTGAGATGTTGAGGAAGAACGCATGTAACATTGATACTACGGTATGCGGCCTGCTCTACAGTGTGCAGACGTGTGCCATCTTTCCTCCTGACATGCCCTCTTGCTTGATCGCTCACTGGCGCCTCCGAATCTGCAATGATTTTCGTGTTCTGCCAGAAAATGAGGTTATGTGTGACACCGTTGCTCCTTCACTTCCTCCTTTTACAAAAGTGGAAAATAAAACCCTCTATTCTTTCTTTAACTTAGAATGGAGCGGAATAAAGAAAATTGAAGTCTGATCTGTAATCACTAAAATGCCTATCTAATCACCAAATCACTAGAAGGCCTATTTGAAGGGAGTTTCCAAGGGAGTCTTAAAGGTGGAAGAGAATGCAAAAGATGTTGGGTTTTATGACTTGAAGACCCCCTTCGCTCCGCGAGCCCAGACATGGTTTCTGGAAGAGACTTCACATACCTAGTTAATCTCCTCTGAATGTGTTTCTGGGTCAATGGCCTCCTTTTAAAGTCAGGCACCAACACTGAACACAATACTCCAGGAGTAGGGCAGCCACACCCTGGCGGCCCGTCTTGGTTTGTGCTCCACCGGAAGCATTAGGACTTGTTCCCATGACCTACAACTCATTGCCTGTTAACCCACTAGCCTCCCGTTGTGTTTAGAAAGAGGAGAGAGAGGAATAAACCCAGCAGATATTACTCCTTAGAGTGTTTCCTTCCATTTTAATCTGCTTCCATTAGTCTGTTTGGACTGCCATAGCAAAATATCATCAACTGTGAGGCTTAGACAACAGACATTTACTTCTCACGGATCTGGAGGCTAGAAGTCTAACATGAAGATTCTGGTTGATTTGGTTTCAGGTGAGGCCTCTCTTCCTGGTTTGCAGGCAGCCACCTTCTTGTTATGTGTTCACAAGGCCTTTCCTCAGTGCCTGCTCGGGAAAAGAGAGAGAGAATGAGATCTCTGGGGTATTTTCTTTTAAGGACATTAATCCAATCAGATCAGGCCCCACCTTTGTGACCTCATTTAATCTTAATTACTTCCCTAGAGTCTCCATGTCCAAATATTACCGCACTGGGGGTTAGGGCTTCACAAACATTCAGTCCATAACACGGAGTGTACCTCTAATTTCATCTTCTACTTCTTCTCTTCATATGCATAACCTTTATCTTGCTGCACAACCTTCATAACCATCTTTTTACTTTTTCTGACTATATTATTTTCATATGTTCTTATTATTTAAAATTGTGGATAAATTCAGGGAAGTATAATGAAGAAAACTTAGAATCACCCAGGTATAATCACTATTAAATTTTAGTGTATTCTCTTTCAATATTTTCCAATGCATTTCTATGTATGATGTATAGAAAATACATTTACAGGGACCGGCTCCATGACCGAGTGGTTAAGTTCGCGTACTCCGCTGTGGCGGCCCAGGGTTTGGATCCTGGGCGCGGACACGGCACTGCTCGTCAGGCCATGTTGAGGCAGCGTCCCACATCCCACAACTAGAAGGACCTGCAACTAAGATATACAACTGTGTACAGGGCGGGTTTGGGGAGATAAAGCATAAAAAAAAAAAAGATTGGCAACAGTTGTTAGCCCAGGTGCCAATCCTTAAAAAAAAAGAAGATTGGCAACAGTTGTTAGTCTAGGTGCCAATCTTTGGGAAAAAAAAAAGGAAATACATTTACAGAATGGGTTATGTAAATTTAATAGTCAACTTTTTCTCTAACATTGTATCATAAGTATTTTCCCAATATTGTTAAAAATTACTTGACCACATATTTTAAAAACTGCCTAATATTTTGTAACATGACAGTACCATGGTTTACTTAACCAAATTCATATTGTTGAGGGAGCCAGCCACATGGCTGAGTGGTTAAGTTTTCACACTCCGCTCTTGCAGCCCAGGGTTTCACCCATTCAGATCCTGGGCACAAACCTAGCACCATTCACCATTCACCAAGCCATGCTGAGGCGGCGTCCTACACAGCACAACTAGAAGGACCCACAACTAGGATATACAACTATGTACTGGTACAACTATGTACAGAGACTCTTTTGAAAGCAAAAAAGGGAGATTAATAATTATAAGATAACAAGGATAAACTGGGATTGTCCCAGGTGAACTGGAATATACGGTCACTGAAATCATAGCACACCCTTGCCTCCAGCTATATCTCTGAGTTAGATTCAGTGTGTGCGTTCAAATTATCCTCTTCACTAAGAGATCCTCCATCAACATTTTTAGTGACTGCCTAATAATCTATGTGTTTACCATTATTTAATCATTTCTTATTGATGGGCAATTAGACCGCTTCCAATTTTTATCTATTAAATATAATGCTGAATGAACATATTCATGCATAAAATTATATCCTTAATCTAGATTTTTCCTTTGGACTAGGTCTCAGAATCAAAATTATGTAGTAAGCTCTTCTTCTTTCTCTTCATCCCTCTCTTTCTCTCCTTTTTCTTTCCCTTTTCTAAAAGCCATTATAGAAACTGGTTATAATATCTTATTGGTTCCCTCATTAAGTAATAGGTTAAGTAAAATCTTTGACACATGTTCATTTTGTATTTGTATAGGAGTCATGACTTTTCTTCTTTTTAATTATTCTTTAACAGTTTGGAGGTCATCCACCAAGATGCGCTGACAGAGCCAGGTAAACTGCATTACCAGGAGGTACACCTATTAGGAGGAGCAAGGGAGTGGGGTGAGCGGATGGCTTAAGACCAGGCACATCTTTTCTTGGCTTCCAGAAATGAATCTCAAGCACCAATAGAACTTGAACTTTTCTGTCTCTATGTTTCTGTAGGGTTTTTTCCTCTCTCTCTCCTCTAATTTTACATTTTGTTTTTGTTTCTAGTTCACACATGAGGAATAAGTTATGGTGACAGCAATAATTAGTGGAGTTTGGTTTTATGATCTGACTACTTGATAATATAGGTAAATAGTTTAATGGACAATAGAGGTCTATTCTCTTTTGGGTGAAAGGATAGAGAATCCAGGGTTGTTAGTCTTTTTTATTTGTCTGTTTTGAGCTTGCATCAACTAAGAATTTCATGCTTGCCAGGAGAGTGAACAGCTCTATGATATGTGGACCTGTGAGTTTTTATGTTCCTATCTTACTCTTAACCTGTGAATAAACTTGTAGAACTGAAGACATACACTCTTTATACATACGTGTGTCTATAACTCAGAGTCCTTTACTTCTCATAGTATGACCATGAAATATTTTCCTATCTCTGGAGGCATTAATAAATTAAATTATAAAGTCTTTTAAATTAAAATAAACTCTGCTCTGATTGGCTTATAGAGATAAATAAGGTCCTATAAATTAAATATTCATAAAATTCCCAGAAAATAAGGAAATTGAACTCCAAATACATTCAGTATGCTAGACATAAAAGCTACTACATGGGGCAGAGCATAGTGTGTGGGGTGAGGAAAGCCTAGAGGCTGAGAGAAGGACCACAAGGGTGACCTCATGGGGAAGAAGGGTGGTGGCAGTGACTGGAGGTTGGTCACATACAAGTGGGTTAACCAAATAAGTAAATGTACTAATAATAACAGGAGTCCAGTTTCTCATTGTGAAAGAAGGGAATTAATGAAAGGAAGAAAACTACAACAAACAATGTGGTGTCAGATTCAAATTAGAAGTATGTTTGTACTCATAGTTTAATAAATAGATGGAAATGCTCCCATACATATCTCTATATAGCTATCTAGAGAGATAGATACGGGTATATCTATTCATTTCCTGCCTCTGTCTACTGAGAAGGCCTGGGAGTCACGACTCCCAGTGTCACTGAACAATGAGCACATCTAGCTCCCAGATTTTGGTTTCTAAATATCATTCTCTACTAAAAGGAACTAAGGCTCTTTGGAGAAGTAGAAGATTCCAGTGCTAGTTCAGGAAAAGTACAGGATGAACTTGACACATCCTGTGCCAGAAAGAGAGAAAGTGCTCCACAAATGATGAGGCCATGTCAAAACAACACAAAAACCAACATGAAGGCGTTCCTACTGGCCAAATCTGTGACAATTTGAGGCACAAAATAAAATAATGAGATAACAGATTAAAACCTCTTGAATAAAATACAAATACATGAGTTCATGCTACTCTAAATAAACAAAAGATATAAATAAATTAATTAATAAATTGAAAGTTTCATGAGGTACAGGCTATTTATATCATCTCAAAGTAATTATTACAAAGGGAAAAAGAGTAACTTTACAGTGAAAAAACCTGGTGGATACCACCTCAATGAAGTGATTAAAGTTAATATAACAAATGAGACTAATAAAAATTACGTGCCACATTATAGAATTCAATGAGAAGGACACACCATCACTTCTGTGATATTCTCACCAAAGTCATGACTTGAATCGAATCTTAAGGGAACAGCAGACTAACCTGAACCGAGGTACCATCTACAAAATAACTGATCTGTAATCTTCAAAAGTGCCATAACCACAAAAAGCAAGGGAAGAAGGAAAAACTGCTCTATATTGAAGGAGACTAAAGAGTCACGACAACTAAAGCAACATGTTATTCTGAACTGGATCCTTTCACTGTAAAGACATTACTGAGACAACTGATGAAAATTGAATAATGTGAAAACAAGATGGTAGTAATGTATCACTGTTAATTTCTTAATTTTGATGGTTGTATTGTGGTTATGTAAGAAAATGTATTGATTTGTAAGAAATTCACCCCAGAATGTTCAAGGATGGTAAGGGTACCATATCAGCAACTTACTCTCAAAATTGTATAGGAAAAGTTCCTTGTACTCCGGTTGCATTTTTTGAAAATTTGGTATTGTATCAAACTAAAAAAAAAAGCATGTGGTGCAAAGGTGTGAATATTTTAATGATTTTTGATAAAAATTGCTAAGTCGCTTTCCAAAGGGGTGGTACCTCATCTTGCAACTATGCAGTTCCATTTTTTCCTATGAAATTTTTGTTAGGCAAGCCAGGCACTAACTGCATTCGAAGACCTTATTTTCAGACCTACCCGTCACACTTTATAATGGAAGTGCTGATTTTCGTGAACTCACTTATTATCTCCATGTGGGGGTAATCACTCATTGTATCATTAGCTGATAATGACTAGATGAGTTGATTGAGCTGTAAATGACCATGGTTAGAGATTGCAGCTCTAGCTGATTAGATAAATATGCCACATATTTCATTTTGATCATATCAATTTCACTATCATTTGACTGAAATGTCTTCCTTCAACCTAAAGTTCTCATTAAGTCATGGTAATTTCTCTGAAATATGACTGTATGCATGGCTTCTATCAGCCAAAACCAATAGTTACAGAAAAGGAAGGTTATTTCACCTTTTAGGAACTGCCTAGCTACATGATTTTACGTAATTCTAGAAACCTGAAGATCTTTTGTTAGAAAGTGAATAATATCTTTATCACACTTGGAATAGCACACATATGGTAGGGCAGAGAGACCAGGGCTTGTTTAACTGAATATCTTGTCTAATTTAAGAATTTTGGTGAAGAGATTTGGGGGTTTTTCCACAGTAAGTCCTAAAGAATGGCTCTCTTTGGCACCTGGTGTCAAGGCATTATTTAGACGTTGTAGCCAAGTGCTTCACAAGCTTTAAAGTGCACATGAATCTTGTTAACATGCAGATCTGGTTCAGTGGGTCTGGGGTGGGACCTCAGAGTCTGCATTCCTAACAAGATCCTGGGAGATACCAATGCTGCTCCTGCGCAAACCACGCTCACAGGGAAAGCAAGCAGCCAGCAAACAGCTCACTTGTGCTGTTTTGTCAAGAATGGACCTCAGAGGTTGTGTTTGAGAAGCTTGGCACACTGGTGAGTGTGCTTCTCTCTGGAGAGCTGGCTCGTCCACCCGCTCTAGAGCAGAGTTAATCCAGTGGCCAGCTGGGTGGACCATGAC